TTGTCACTCCTTATCAGACCACAATGTTTGAAATTGTATGTATGCACAGTTTGGCTGTGCACTTTGTGTGTTGACCATAGAGGTTCGCTTTCTTTTCCCGTCCCTAAACAAAGGTTCAATCCCTGTCTTGCTTACACATTCTCACTTATCTTGTATGCATTATAAGTTTGGCAGCGATCAGTGAAGTTCGCTTTACTGTATTACGCTATACGATGCTGAATGATGATGATAGTGGGAGCCAACATACAGGTGAGTTCATTTTCAACTTCAAACTCATGCGTCGCGATGTAATTTCGGAAACTAACAATAAATCTAGCTACGTGACCGAATTATTGCTGGCATTAATTGCCTTGAACCTTAATAAAAGCTCTTGCCTATGTCTGCCCGCACATTCCAGTCGGTCAATGCAGTTTTTGAACAGTACCAAGACGTCCGTGCCGGTGTTTGTGACGAGCCCAATAAGCTGTTCAATTCCAGTAATTCCAAACAATCACCATCCATAAGGAAGCGATTATTCGAAAAGGACTCGAAAATATTAGGTAGCACCAGTTCTCCAGCCCGTGGTGATTAACGGATTCAACGATGGAATGAGCGCAAGTCGTGTGGTCAAAGACATTCGCGTTTCACCTGCCGATTTCGTAATGCGAAATGTCACAAGTGCGATAAGCATGGTCATATTCAGTCTGTCTGTAAAAGTGCAAAGTTAAGGCTTACAGCATGTACGACTGTTCATTCCTCCAAAGATTTATAGTCTTCAGTGTACAAGCGCACATTCCTCTCAACACATCACTCATGATTTCACCATTAATGACTCCATTCGCCACACAATTATCGTGAACACCAGCTGTAGTTACCCCTACAAACATTTAAATTAAGAGAACGACTGGTCATCCTTTGCCCGTTTTAGGATAATGTGAACTGCATCTTAAACACGACTAATCAGAAAAATTTTACTGTCCGTTTTTGGTTATTAATTCCGATGCCGCTATAATTGGTTTGAATTGTTTGAAGCGTATGCATTTGTAATTTTAATTTACGTCTGACTCGCATCAACTGTATCTTCGTCACTTTGTACTCGAATGTTTCAAAGCAAATGGTGGTACCAAAATGATTGTAGAGAGTCTAAAAGCAACCGATTTCTCCGTCTTTATGAAACGTAAGATTATTCTGCATGAATTTCGTGAGCCCGTGTCAGGTGTGACGGTCAACAAGTAAGTTCTGACACTAGAGAGATCTTCAGCTTGGGCCAGATCAATTGTTATTCCATTGAAGTGTAAATCGGAAGGCTCTTAGGATATTGTGGAGATTATCTGTAAGCAGACTGCTGAAACAGTCGACGTGCAATCACCACAGTAAGACAAACCCTGGTTCCAAGTCATCATCATATTTTTTATCCGCATCAAGCTTACCCGATCGCTCCCAAGTTCAGAAGGCAGGCAGACAGAGTGAGTGAGAATGTTTAAGGTGGATGTGGATTGAACCGGATTTGATGGAGGAGGAGAACAAGAAAGTGAATCATTACAGTGGACATACAGACAAAGTATATCCACCACATGAACGTTCTGCTCTGGTCAGAGACGACAGAACTCAAAACCTCCCATCATGAGCGTACAAGCTGCCACCAGGAATCTTGACAATTTCGTTTAGAATGGAAGAAAAGTGCAGCCTAAGCTTCATATGATCAATGTCCGGTTCTCTTGAGAGGATCCATTAAGGGAACGCAATCACGAGTTGTAGTGCCAGCGTGTACGAGAAGCTCTCTTACACGCAGTGGTTCATTCGACGACAAAGACACTAGAACACACTATATGAGACCGCAAAACTATGAATGAGTGAAAGGGATGCATGAGCCGTCTGAGATTGAACATCTTGGATGAAAATAGGAGAAAATAAGGAGCCACCAATCACTAACCATTCACACAAACACCATCACCCAAATTGCTTTTCACTCTACGAACGGATTATTTACTTCGCCCTTATGCACACATGCATGGTACGAGGGGAAAGCCAGTGTAATAATGCAGGACCGGTAAGCATTAAGTTTGATGCCGTACCGTCAGCCAACAAGCCGTGAACGTGCCACAAAGAGTGTGTCTTTCTGTCACGCTTTTCGTCTCGAGACACTAGCTCGAATAGTCGGAAAGAGGAGTATGCAGCAAGTGGAAATGATCAGTTTATCCACACCACAATGATGTGTGGGTAAAATCAGAAGTTTCATCTTCCATTGCGTCTGTTCGCCGAGTTTGGCAATTTGTTTGCAAACGTTTCACCACCAGCCGAGGTGAAATCATCAGTGCTCGTGAAGTTTGCATTCAACTTGCCAAGCTCGGCGAACAGGCGCAATGGAATTCAGTTCACCCGAGCTACGAGAACTAATTTTCAATATTTCATCTTCCGTTCATACAATTAGGATTCAGTGGATCAAGATTCACCGAACCGGGGGGGGGGGGGA